CAGACAGAGTAGGGTCAGTAAGATGTAGTTTCAAATCCCGCCTAATTTGCTGCAGGCTCGCATAGTGTTCTGGGTTCGCAGCCACTGCAAAAACCTCAGCTGCATTCCCCTCCTGCTCCTCTAGCTAGGCAGTTTTAGAGGCAGCGTTTGTACGTGCTGCTTTGATAGCAGAAATGAATTCCCCTCTGGTAGTGGCCTTATAGGCCTCCTAGACCATAGACAGGGAAACCAACTCCTCATTAAGTCCAGTAGTCCACCAAATTTTTATCAACCAGCTCTTTCACTGCGGCATTCTGTATCCACCTTGGGGCCAGTCTCCAAAAGCCGGGGTCCCGCTGACCCCCAACCCTCAAACAAGTTCAAGGGCAGAGTGGGCAGACAGGGCTGCTGGCTGGTAGGTCAGTGAGTCCACCTGGGTCAACACAAAAGAGGTTCCAAACATCAGATCAATGCTTGCCCCAGAGGGGTGCCAACCCACCAGCTCCTGGGCAGCGCCTCTGACTGGATTGGAGGTATCTAGCTTGTCATTTAGTATGGCATTAATGTCTCCCCCTATAACCACTCTCCCTGGGAGATAGGGAGCCAATTTCCCTTGGATGACATACAGGTGGGTGGGAGATACTCATTTACAAATTCCCATACAGTAGCATCAATCTCTAATAACAGAATAACATATCTTCCCCCAGGATCAATCATGACTTTTATCACTGTACAAAAGGGATTTATGTAGGAGATTGGCAATCCCTCTAGCATAGGCCAAGTACATAGCATGAAAATCTTGTTTAATCCAAGCCCTACGAAGGGCCAGTATTTTACTGCCTATAAGATGTGTTTCCTATAGAAAGAGGACCTGTGGTTTGTAGGTCTGTAGATATTTAAACATTGAGGAATATTCCAAGAGAGTAGTTTAGGAGCCATGGTGCAACATTTGTGAATCTACGTGCAGAAATAATTAGAACGGATCCATCGGATCTAATAGAGCAATGCCAAAGAAAGGAGTGGGGGGGTTGCCATTTCTCCAACAGAATCCTCCTTGCTCCCTGACCACAAAAGCTACCCGATCTAAGACAAAGAGATTGAGAATGAGAAAATCCCCCAACAACTTGAACTCCCTACCATGTAACTGTATAACAAACAGAACAAAAAATAGTTATCACAGTTTTTATCCTGGAACATAAAACCAGCAGTCCTCTTCTGTATCCAACTCCACATGGACAGTCTCTTGTAGAGTAAGGGGGGGGGGCAGTGGAGTGGGGAGAGAAGGCAAGCCTAGTCTAGTCAATCTGTCAGCAGAAGGCTCCCGGTTGAAGAGAGCAGTTATGGTTCGTAGGCAATAAGGCACGTTGTGGTAAAAAATAGTGGTGGTAGGTAGAAGGGCAACATAGTGGTCTCAAGGATCTTTCTTGATCTTCAAGGTTTAACTCTGTGAATAAGTGTCTTTTATTCAGCCTGGTAAGCAATGTAACTATGCAGATAGTAGCCTTTGATCACAGAGTGTGGTTGGCACGCAGACATGTTTTCTGTGAATACGTTTATTATGGCCTCCTCCCTGGCCATGATTCCCCAATAGCTGTTCTCTGCTGTTCTGACAGATGAGAAACTCCAGTTTCAGATGGTGAGACAGCTGCCTGGAGACTTTAGTGACCGAGGAATGCTTGAATGATCCCTCTGGTCCTGGTGTGAATTTCTCTGCACTGCGCTTAGCCTTCCTGCAGCAGCCGGAGTGGAAAAAAGCTAAAACCTTTTTGTACGTTCAAGCAATTAATGTCTTGTTGTTGAGAAAAAGTGACCCCCAGGACAGTTCTGTAGCAGTAAGTGGGATTTTCAGTGGGCTGTGCGATTGGCTATCTCTTTTCCATCTCAGAGGTGATTTAGTGAGCCCTGGCACTTTGTGTTAGGATCTGCCATTTGAGGTTAGTTAAAAGTACAATTCAGTCAAGATAGAGCAGACTCACTGTGATGGAGGGGTATTGCCAAGGTGCCAACTGCTGATGGTATTTATTAAAGCTTGTTCTGATTCTCCTCTATCTGCGGCACATTTATAACCCGAAGCCCTGTAGCACATATCTGTTCCTTTACTTCTCGTCAAAAGTTCTGTTCAGTCACGCAGTTTTGGGTGGAATCCAGTAGGCTTTGTCACCTTCTGGCTTGATGGTGCCATTATTGACCTGTCTCTGCCGTAGTTCCCACCTTGAAGTCCCCCACCCTGTCTGCGTTCTGTTCTTTCCTCTTGCTTGTGTCTTAAGTAGGCCATAGAATATGCAACTTTATTTCCTGCAACCATGAGTTGCACATTCAGTGTTGTGTGGAGAATCCCTTCCATGGAGCTTTTGTATACGGACAGTGGGTGGTTTCCCGGCTGTGAGAATACAATGAACACTGCCAGCTGCTATAGTCACAAGCAGCGATCGGATGAAAAATTCCGACAGACTGGTCGTACTGAAGTTGATTGATGGTATCGACTTCAGTACAAGCAACCTACCCATATTTGGAGCGAAAATCGTCTGGTCCCTACTGAACCAGCTGAAATTTCCATCCATCTGTGGCCGGCTTTGCTCTCCACTGTTGCTTTATGTTGCCCCAACAGTCTGTCACTCATTTTCCCATACTCCCCATGACCTGATGTTTGCTGAGACGCCTGACTTTTTTCTCCCTCTCCTATCTTGCTCGTATAGCCGGCTGTTGCTATAACTTGTACCAAACACAGGATTGCTGTCATAGCAGTAGCCAACTTGTATCAGTGGAAGAGTGTTTTTTGCAGAATCAGAGACCCTATTCAGCCTCTAGTACACTTAGGATCCTTTCACACAGGCAACATCAGTTCATCACAAAAACTGATTTTTAAAAAAAAAAAAACCTTGAAAACTCGATCCTTTTACATCAGTTTGTACATCCGTCTTAGTTCAGTTCAGGTTACATCAGTATACACCAGTGTTTCATGGGTTTTTTTTGGATTCTTTTAATACATTTGGTGTAGTTTTTGAATAAAATAGTCATAGGTGGACAAGTGCAAAAACAAAAAAAAGTGTTTTTTACTTAAAAACAGACGTAAACAGACAACATCCATTTATGTCTGCACATGGAAAAAGATGTAAATCTTCATTTTATTCTGCAGACATAAACTATCTCGGATGTAAGTAGATGCAAACAGACATCCCCATTTTGAGGACACTTGCGGTTTTGAAGATTTAATTTTTTTTTAAAAAAGGATAAGTTCACCTTTGGGAACATGTTACGTGTCCCACCCGTTTTTAGGGTGGAACATGTCACATGTTCCCATAGCTGCACTTCAGTTCTACTTTAACAGTCAGATTTGACTGAAGTGTTCATTTATGCATTTCGTCATTCACCAGAATCTACAAATGTCAGATTTGGCTGTGCAGAGCCTTTAATTCGAAGAAAAGTCACTGGTTTCCATGATGGTGGAGTGTGTACTGATTTCTGATCTCTGTTTGCAGGTTGCGTTGTGCTGGCAGTGGAGCTCACTACTCTTCACACAAATCCTGAGGTTCAAGAATATCAAAGTAAGTCAGTGTCCTCCTGTCTCTGATCAGTATCAGTCCTTTTCTCCTTTTTTCCAGTTGTGATAACATCAGAAGGTAATTGCAGCCTTTCTCTGGTCATTATATAGATATGTAGTCCGGATTGTGAGGGTGAGAAGCATTGTAGCATATTTCCCACAGTAATCAGACTCCAATTGTACCTTTCCAGTGCATGATGGCTAATGAACGGAGATTGTTCCATCTTGTGGGATGAATGGAAGGGTGGGACATGTTTTGTCATTTTCTCCTTAAAGTAGAATTCCACTAACACTAACTATGCTTAAAAATGTTCCCTCCCCCTTCCTGCTACCTATCCTACCTAACCTGTGTAAGGAAGATCTGTATACTTACCTATTTTTAATCCGTTCTGGTTCAGTCACATGATCCCACAGCTCCGGTTCAGTCATTTGATCTCGCAGCATTGGCTCCCCTGTGTCAGTGAGTAGCTGCTGCAGGGAAGAGGAGGGAGCACCGACATTGGACATGGGAGCCTATGGGTGACATCACGGCTGAAATTCCCAGTCATTGTTCAGTTCTCCTTCCTCTCCCCTGCAGCCACAAGGGATCATATGACCGGACTGGAACGGACCAAAAATAGGTAAGTATACACATCTATTTTACATTTTTTATTAGGAAACATTTTTGAGCCTAGTTGATTTTGGCTGGAATTCCACTTTAAAGCCCAACTCCAGGATTTAAACGGAAACACACAGTGGGGTTCCTTAACCCACCCATCAAGTTTCCCAGCCTTTTTAATGATAACAAAAGGGCCAGAGACATCTTCCTCCGTGCTAGCGTCATGCAGTGACCGGCAAGAAGAGCGCTTGTGCACACATGTTCATACATGCTGAGAATCATCCAGCATAATGCGATGGGATGGCAGCAGTAGAATATGAAATCATCTTGCTACACAGTGATATAGACAATCTAAGTATGAAAAGAAAGCTGAGAAAAGGAGAAATATATGGGGGTAATTTTTGGAAGTATTAAAAAAAAACAAAAAGAAACTGGAATTGGGCTTTAATGTCACAAGCATCCTGGTAGTGGGCATAAAATGAACGTTGCTGCCTGCAGCATCAATGCATGGAGTCTGGCTGTAGTGGCTTGGTTTTTGGCTTCGAGAATTGTCGTGTTTGCGTTTTACACCGTTTCAGCACTCGTACATTATTCCTGCATTGTACAAGAGCACGTTTTTGTTGCTATTATGTATTTAGCCTATGTTATGTTTCATCGTGGTATTAACTGTATCTAAAGCCAATGTCATCAACAATAATGTAAAACCTAAATTGCCACTAACCCCTGGCCATGAACATCACCCTAGATTGTCATTGACCCTGGACGCAACCCTAAATGCTACACTGATCTTTTGTGATTGCTTGTGAAAATCCTTTAAATGCAATTGGTAATCCTCTCAGGGTTGATTTTTTTTTTTTCCCTGCATTTGAAAATTTGTCATCAATGTATGTGGACACCTTTAGCTGTGATTTCCAGACTGCAGACTCTTTATATACTTATTGCATATGTTGGTATTTCAAATGTGAAATTCTGCCAAGGTTCATCTTTGTACCCTGTTTCCTGCCAGGAGCGGAGCTCTCTTGTATCATTAAAAACAGCAACACAAATGACCCACGCATTGAATGGAAGAAGACCCGTAATAACGAGACTACCTATGTCTATTTTGAGAATAATATTCAAGGTATATTAGCTGGGCAATATGCAGGAGGTGGGGGGGGGGGGGTGTTATTGGAGGTATTGATGGTGGGGTGACTTGGAGACATACATAAATGTAAGAGTCATGCATAGGAAGGAGCACTAAGTAAGGAGGGATAAGATGAGGGGGTGCACAGTGAAGGGTTATTAGAGGAAAAGGTGCACAATGAAGACATGATCAGAGGACGGGGTGCAAAGTGACTGGTGATGAGGGGAAGGGAAGAACACTGCAGGGTGATATGGGGAAGGGGCGAACACTGCAGGGTGATAGGGGGAAGGGGCGAACACTGCAGGGTGATAGGGGGAAGGGGGCGAACACTGCAGGGTGATAGGGGGAAGGGGCGAACACTGCAGGGTGATAGGGGGAAGGGGCGAACACTGCAGGGTGATAGGGGGGAAGGGGCGAACACTGCAGATATGGGGGATACTGGGGGAATGGGGGGGCAAACACTGCAGGGGGATAGGGGGAAGGGAAGAACACTGCAGGGTGATATGGGGAAAGGGGCGAACACTGCAGGGTGATATGGGGAAGGGCAAACACTGCAGAGAGATATGGGGAAGGGAAGAACACTGCAGGGTGATATGGGGAAGGGGCGAACACTGCAGGGTGATATGGGGAAGGGAAAAGAACACTGCAGAGAGATATGGGGAAGGGAAGAACACTGCAGGTTGATATGGGAAGGGGCGAACACTGCAGGGTGATATGGGGAAGGGAAGAACACTGCAGGGTGATATGGGGAAGGGGCGAACACTGCAGAGAGATATGGGGAAGGGAAGAACACTGCAGGGTGATATGGGGAAGGGGCGAACACTGCAGGGTGATATGGGGAAGGGAAGAACACTGCAGGGTGATATGGGGAAGGGGCGAACACTGCAGGAGTGATATGGGGAAGGGGCGAACACTGCAGGGTGATATGGGGAAGGGGCGAACACTGCAGGGTGATATGGGGAAGGGGCGAACACTGCAGGGTGATATGGGGAAGGGGCGAACACTGCAGGGTGATATGTGGAAGTGGTGAACACTGCAGGGTGATATGGGGAAGGGGGCAAACACTGCATGGTGATAGGGGGAAGGTCCACAGTGGAGGCATGATTAGGAGAGGGGGCGCACTGTGGAGGCATGATTAGGAGAGGGGGCGCACAGAGAAGGGCGATGAAGGGACACACAGGAAAGGTTGACGAGGGGATGGGTGGCACAATGAATGGTGATGAGGGGAAAGGGTGCACAATGAAGGGTGACAAGGTAAGGGGGTGCACAGTGAAGGGTGATGAGAGGGAGAGGGATGCACAGTCAAGGGTGATGAGGGAAAAGTCGCACAGTGAAGGGTGACATGGGGAGGTGGAACACAGTGAAGGGTGAGGAGATGAAGGGTGACAAGGGGAGGGGCATACAGTAAAGGGAAATGAGAGGAAGGGGTGCAAAGTGAAGGCATGATGGGGAGAATAGGCACACAGTGAAGGGTGATGAAAGGAAAGGGTTTAGAGTAAAGAGTGCTTTTGTTGAAGTAGTGCACAATGAAAGCTGATATAAGGAAGGGACACACACACAGTGAAGGGTGATGAGGGAAGAGGGCAGACAGTGAAGGGTGATGAGGGGGCAGACAGTGAAGGGTGATGAGGGGGGGCAGACAGTGAAGGGTGATGAGGGAAGGGGGCAGACAGTGAAGGGTGATGAGGGAAGGGGGCAGACAGTGAAGGGTGATGAGGGAAGGGGGCAGACAGTGAAGGGTGATGAGGGAAGGGGGCAGACAGTGAAGGGTTGTGAGAGGAAGAGGGTACACTGTGATAGTGATACTGTGTACTGACTGCTTGCATTATAGAGAACCACTGAGTAACTTCTGTGCATTTGTGTGTTTCTATTTGACTGTTGTCAGAGCTCCCTGGTGCAGAGACGAACATGAAAGGCTCAGTGTTCTCTGTACAGCACTGCAGAATATGTCAAAGCTATATAAATGTATAATATTGTTACACTGTGGTGAGGATATTAGAGTGTAAGCTCCTCTGGTGAAGAGACAGATGTGACTGGCTCGTGTTCTATGTACAGCACTGTAGAATATGTCAGAGCTATATAAATGTATCCTATTAGTAATAATAAAAAGAATAGTGTGTGATTGTGATGGGACATTAGATTGTGAACTCCTCTGATGCGGAGACCGTTGTGAATGGTTTAGTGGTCTCTATACAACACTGCGGAATGTTTCAGCGCTATATAAATGTATAGTAAGTATAGTGTGTGACTGTGCTGGGGTCCTTTAGATGGTGGTGTAGACTGATGTGAACAGTTTTATGTACTTGGTATAGTAGTTTGAAGTGCCTGTGCTATATATGTGCAAATCTGTGTTTTTGTGTATTAGGAGACTTGAAAAATCGTGCTGAAATTCAGTCCCAGAGCTCGTTGGTTATATTTAATGCCAGCCGGACCGACACTGGAACATATCGCTGCGAAGTGGCCGCTGTGGACGACCAGAAGAATTTAGCGGAGATTATCATTAATCTCACTGTCAAAGGTAATTCTTGCTGTAACATGCAGAAATAGTCCACACTTTGATTCTGTGTTATTTTATGTGTTGCCAGCAGCATCTGGCTCTCTGGAGATATCCCAGACATAACAGATATTGCTAGTCAGTTGTAGTTGCCAGAGGCTGATGATCAGATTGTCATTTTCAGTTGCTAGTTGTCTCATCTAGATGAATTATTGCTGACTTGTCAGTTGCTGACTGTCATACTATAGTTGCCAGATGTCAGTGGTCCAGTTTTAGGAACTGTCTCCACATATGGAAGCAAATTTCAAATCTAAGGTATATTTGTTTTTACCAAAGCAGAGAAATGTCACATACTGGCCCATTTAAAGAAGCTGTTTCTAAAACTAATGCCGATGTAAAGTTTAGGTACGTGTAATCTACAGAACCCTTAACCCGCACCTGTGCCCAGTCTATGGGCATTAATTTATTTAAACATTCTTAACAAACAATAGAAACACTTTAAAATGAACCACCACTGACCTCACTAGCTGCTTTTAATGTAAAGTAACTCATTCGCAAAGAAAATAACAAAGACACTGAAGTCCATTTATGGGCTTATTCACACCGTTTGCACTGGGATGTGCCAGGCAGCATTGCCTAACACAGTCCTGATGCAAAGATAAGGCAGTCACCTGGTTCCCTATAGCGTCAATTAAGGCTGCAATATCTGGAAAGGTGCAGGGACTTTTTCCCTCGTTTTGAAAGGCACAACAGCTCATTCAAATGAATGGGCTGCTGTGCTGTGGCCTGCAAAACGGCACTAGTGGCAACTGAGCCTCAGTATAAACTAAAAGTTTACCAGTATTGTGCATTATATTTAAAATGATTATAATCATGGAAAAAGTCTCAGCCTTTGGAACTACAGTGGATATAAAAAATTAAAATGTCAGGTTTCTGTGATGTAAAAAAATTAAACAAAGATAAATAATTTCAGAACTTTTTCCACCTTTAATTTGACCTAGAAACTGTACAACTCAATTAAAAACAAACTTAAATCTTTTAGGGGGGGAAGTAAACATAAAAAACTAAAATAATGCGGTTGATAAGTGTGCACACCCTCTTATAACTGGGGATGTAGCTGTGTTTAGAATTAAGCAATCACATTCAAAATTCAAAATCATGTTAAATACGAGTCAGAACACACCTGCCATCATTTAAAGTGCCTCTAATTAACCCCAAATAAAGTTCAGCTGTTCTAGTAGGTCTTTCTTGACATTTTCTTAGTCGCATCCTACAGCAAAAGCCATGGTCCGCAGAGAGCTTCCAAAGCATCAGAGGGGTCTCATTGTTAAAAGGTATCCGTCAGGAGAAGGGTACACAAGAATTTCCAAGGCGTTAGTTATACCATGGAACGCAGTGAAGACAGTGCAGAAAATATGCTGCAACAGTGACATTACCAAGAACTGGACGTCCCTCCAAAATGGCTGAAAAAGACGAGAAAAAAACTGGTCTGGGAGGCTGCCAAGAGGCCTACAGCAACATTAAAGGAGCTGCAGGAATATCCAGCAAGTACTGGCTGTGTGGTACATGTGACAATAATCTCCCATATTCTTCATATGTCTGGGCTATGGGGTAGAGTGGCAAGACTGAAGCCTTTTCTTACGAAGAAAAACATCCAAGCCCGGCTAAATTTTACAAAAACACATCTGAAGTCTCCCAAAAGCATGTGGGAAAATGTGTTATGGTCTGATGAAACCAAGGTTGTACTTTTTGGCCATAATTCCAAAAGATATGTTTGGCGCAAAAACAACACTGCACATTACCAAAAGTCCACTGTACCCACAGTGAAGCATGGTGGTGGCAGCATCATGCTTTGGGGCTGTTCTTCTTCAGCTGGAACTGGGGCCTTAAAGAGACAAAAGGACACAGCGCCTCTAAGTGTATACTGTGTAATCATTTAATAAGCAGGTAAGTATCTTGGATAATAAAAACAGGCTCATAGGGAAGTGATGTAAAACGTCTGTAGCCAGATGTAAATTGACTGATCCGGAGAGCAGTGAACCTTGGTTCGCCAGCAGGTGGTGCTGCATCAGGTGACGCACAAATGGTGAAGCCTGGCTGGGTCTCCAATATGTCCGGCGTTAATCACGTTGGGCGTCTGACGTCATCGGGATGTGATGCATTTCTGAGCATGCGTGGGACCAACGTCAGCCCGGCGCGCTCTTTCATCAGGCAAGGAAGAGCAAAGGAGTGGGAAAACCTTATGTAGATCAATGGGAACTGATAGACAGGCCTGGGGGGTGGGGAAACAAAGGAGGATCTCTGACGGAGCAGCGAAACGCTGTCCTGTAGCAGAGGGATATTGATCCAGCACTGGCAAATAAGTACATAAAAGTGACATATTAAGAGACATAGAGATAAAAATTGAAATAAAAACATTGGATCACCGCAAAACATAGAAAATGAACGTTGTTAACAAAAGGCAATATGAGACAATATTAGGAGCAATGTATAAAAAAATAGTGGATTGGAGGAAATAGGGGAAGAATGGACATGCTTGCAATCACGTGTATAAATAAGTCTCTTATGGAGAGACAAAAGAGTATATATAATCATAAAAGAAATGATAAAGGGATTTTATAAAACAGTATAAAAAATTGTATTGGTTAAGGGGACATCTTCCGCTGACTGCACTACTCCCAGCACCTCCCTCTGTAGGTCCATCTCCTGTGAACTCAGAGGAGGCATCTGGTATCAATGCACTTTGACAGTACTGACTGTCAGCGTGCATTGAGAACAACACTGAAAACAACACTGGGTGGTATACATCCACCACAGTGTTGATTTGCAGCGGAACCCATGGGGACTTCTCGCAGAACCCTGGTTGAGAAACCCTGTATTAGAGGGTTGCCATGATCTGATAGAAACATCTGCTGTGTATTTACATTAGAAGGCTGGCAGGCTGCTGTGATCCTATCGCAATAGAAAGTAGGAGGAAAAGAGCTGAAATGTGAAGATGATGTTAACCACAATGCCTATAGATACAGAACAATGAGGGCTTGTTTTTAAACACTTTTTACTGCTTGTTCAGAATATGTACATACTGTATTGTAGTGTGCATAGTCTATCCAGTTTCTAGTTACAGATGAATGCTGGGTTCTTGGTGCAAAGCTTCATCAATGCTTCATGGTGTTAACGCTCGTCTCAACTCCTTTTTGCCTCCTGCTCATTCCTACTGGCCAAGAATGAGGAGGTTGGACTTGGCGGCAAACTCTAACACTAGCTTTGCCTATTAGAACTGCCCAGGTATGGGCCTTTAATGCAGTCTTTATTATACCTGTAGCAGGATTTTTTTTTCTTAAGATGCAGAAGGGTTTTCAGCCCTAGAGTTAGATCCTGGCTGTGGAGGAGAAGTGTGGGACACTAAATGGCATGACTTTTCAGGTCTTCGTAGTATAGGGGCCCTGTATGGAGAGACTTTTTAGATCTTCCTAGTGTGGGGGCACTGAATGGTGAGACTTTTTTTAGGTTTTCCTTTTCTTCAACTTATTTTGTTTATTCCCGTCTGTCATTTCTGGTTTAATGATTTTTGGTAAAAGAAGTTTTCAGAAAACATTGCAACAGGTATACGAACAACGATTCTATAATACAGTCTCTATTGTCACAGTAATAACTACAGCATGACAAAATGACATGCCAATAGAAAGTGTGTGTAAAACAGGAGCCATCTATCAAGTGCCACCAGGGTGACCGCTGTAGTACTGCTTGTGGACTACTGTCTCTTTTACAGAAAGATAGTAAATAAATGATCTATGTAGTAAGAGAGCCCTCAAAATCAAAGGCAGGTCGCCTGTCATTTCTAGTAAAGCTCTACCCATTGTTATGAAGATGCATCTAACACTTTTTCTGTTTTTCTCCCTTAGTAAAACCAGTGACTCCCCAATGCCGAGTGCCCAAGTCTGTCCCAGTGGGAAAGTCTGCCGTTCTGCATTGCCAGGAGAATGAGGGTTACCCCAGTTCTGTGTATCGATGGTATCGCAATACTGACGCACTGCCAGATGACTCCAAAACCAGCCCAAAATTTGTCAATTCATCTTTTACCTTAAACACCAATACTGGAACCTTGGTGAGACTAGTGGCAACCCTGGCATAATGGGGAGATATGTGGGGGGTGGGAAAAGAATCAAATAGGTCTGACTATGTCACACTGTCTGATCTTGGCTGTTTGATATAATAAGGAAGAGTAAGGTCTTGTAAGAGTATATTATGTGTGAGGCAGCCAAATACATGTTATAATCAATTAACCTCTGCGCTCAGGTGTGTATTCTTCAGCTCTTCTTCCTTAAAGTGTTACTAAAGTCTGACATTTTTTTTCAATTAAAACAACAAACATTTTATACTCACCTGCTCTGTGCAATGATATTGTACAGAGTGGCCCTTATCCTCCTCTTCTCGGGTCCCCCACCGGCAATCTCTGCTCCTCTTCTTTGTGTGTCCCCATAGCAAGCTGTTTGCTATGGGGACACATGCTGTATGGATGCTCCCAACCTGTGTGTCTATGGAGTTGCGCTTCATAGACATACACAGTGGGACTTAGTCCCCCCCCATTTCCTCTTCACTACATTTGACTGACAGCTGCAAGAGCCAATGGCTCCAGCTGCTGTTTGAGTCCGTATGAAGAGAAAGCAAGGGGGGAAGAGATGCAGGTGTGCGCAGCACTGATTTCTTCTCCCCTTTCTTCCCCTTCATACAGGGATGGGAGAGCACAGACAAATAGAAAACATCTTTTACCTTAATGAGAGCAGTTCATTATGGTAAAGAATGTTTTTAGGCTTAGCATCACTTTAAAAGCAGAATATTACTGCATCTAAGCACCACAAACCAAAAACACTCTTTAATACATTTGTATTATTCAAAGCAAACTCCCCCATCCATCCATGTCTCCATGCATTATTTTGCTGAGAAATCGCTTTGAAAAGCATCCTCCCAGCATTTTTGGTCATGGATATGTTGAGTAAGGGCAGATGATTTATGTAGCATTTACTTCCCGGAATCCATCTGCCCTTAGCTCAGGCTTGCAGGCAGGAGGGTGTGTTTATTTGAGAAAACCCCTCCTCCTCTCCTGAAGACTCCTGGCATGTATGACATCATGGGGTTTATTTACTAAACCTGGTTGACTCAGAATCTTGGGCACCTGTGCATGGTAGCCAATCAGCTTCTAACCTCAGCATGTTCAGTTAAGCTTCAGCAATAAAACCTGGAAGCTGATTGGTTTTTATGCAGAAGTGGACAAGATTCTGAGTCAACCAGGTTTAGTAAATAAACCCCCATTTGTCTAGGCCTGGAAACAAGGAAGTAACTGAAATGTAAGAAAAAAAAAGTTTAAAAACAAGTAAAAATATATCTTCTGATCTATTTACAAATGCTAGCAGCATAAGGATTACAAATAGTCAATGTTGATTGAGAGAGTGAAGTTCCATTTTAAGTTGCTATGCACCTTCTATAAGCCATTGGGGAAATAATGCCGATTTCATATATAAACTTGGAGCAGCATTATACCAAAATAGTGCATTCATTAAACTGACACAGGCAGTGCTCAATATGGTGAAATCACTATGCTGTGCAAACAAAATGATGCATAAATCAATACTATCTTCAAAAGCAAAACAACAACCAGACAAAATGGTTCTTCCAATTCCAGTAAGTATGAAAGTGCTGCTATTTGGAAACAACAAATGTGTCCACCCTTAGTGAAAATAAGGCCCTTTCACACAGGCAGACTCTGCCAGCGGATTTACTTGCTGAGTGGGGGATCTGTCTGCTAATTCCTGCTGAACAGGCAGATGACAGGTCCATGTCCTCTCCAATTAAGCAGAGCGGACACAGACACAGCCCGCTGTCCTGTGTGGACGGTCAGATGTAAATGGACCACCTGTCCGTTTGCATCAGACTGTCATCTGTCCGTTAGATGGAGTAGAATGGATCCCCATCAATCTGTTTTTAGCAGACCAGATCGGGTGTAAATGGACACATGTCTGTTTACATCCGCTTACACTGGTACTGACTAGTATTCCAATGTTTCTCTTCTCCCTCAGTTTTTCTCCATCACTGTGCTAATGTGTCCCCAGCACTGACGGAGAGGGGTGGGGAGGGTCAAACTAGGATGCTGTGCAGGCAGCTGACATCCTCATCAACTGATGACCTCATTGGTTGTCAGGATGCTGGTGGCTAGAAGGTTGTAATGGTGCACAATGAAGATCTGTGACTGTGTAACTAAAAGGCAGGCTTGCTCCACCTGCTGGCTTGTATACAAGTTTTGGGCAATTTTTAGACATTTTACCAAGGCACCCCTGAAGAAACCTCGAGGTACCCCGAGGTGCCTGGGCACCCTGGTTGAGAAAGACTGCTCTAGATGATAATGACCTCCTAAGGTTGATTATCAGGTCAGTGGCACTTTAAGAGCTCTTCAGTGTCATCTATGCTTGATTCAGTGGGGTACCTCCTCACCGCTCTTCATCACCTCCACACTCCGGTAATCAGAGAGAAGACTGCGATAGTGTACTTCTGTTTATTTATCCACCTTCCGCCCGCCATATAGTACAATGACGGACGCAAGGTGGTTCTCTCGTTCTGATAGGACGTCATATGACGTCCTTCCATTCTCACCGCACATGCGCGGCTCAGGGAGCGCGCAGCGATCGCCGGTGCGCTGTGATCACAGAAAGAGCCGAAGATGCCGGCTCGGTCATGTGATCAGCTGTGTCCAATCACAGCTGATCACATGTAAACACGGAAATGCTGGTTATCAGCATTTCTCTCCTCGAGCTGTCACGCTGACAGCTCGAGAGGAGAGGAGAGCCGGTAATCGGCTTTCCGCGGAGGGGACATGTACACTGATCATCAGGGCACTGATGATCAGTGTGCCCTGATGATCAGTGTGGCCCCAGAAGTGCCACCTGTCAGTGTCCATCAGTGCCAGCAGTCAGTGCTCATCAATGCCACGTGCCAGTGCCTATCAGTGCCACATCAATGCCACATATCAGTGCACATCAATGCCACATATCAGTGCCCATCCGAGCTGCCTTTCAATGTCACCCATCAGTGCCAGTCAGTGCCACCTATCAATGCCAATCAGTGCTGCCAGTCAGTGCCGCCTATCAGTGCCAGTCAGTGCTGCCTATCAGTGCCAGTCAGTGCTGCCTATCAGTGCCAGTCAGTGCTGCCTATCAGTGCCACCTATCAGTGCCATACATCAGTGTCATGTATCAGTGCTGCCTTTCAGTGCCCATCAGTGATGCCTGTCAATGCCCATCAGTGCCTCCTCATCAGTGCCACCTATCAGTGTCCATCAGTGAAGCCTATCAGTGCCCATCACTGCAGCCTCATTAGCGCACATCAGTGAAGGAGAAAAATAACTTATTTACAAAATTGTATAACAAAAACTAAGAAAAAAAATGTTTTTTTCAAAATTTTTTAGCGGTTTTTGGTTTGTTTTAGAAAAAATAAAAATCCCAAAGGTGATTAAATACAACCAAAAGAAAGCTCTATCTGTCTCAAAAAAATGATAAAAATTTCATAAGGGTACAGTGTTGCATGACCGCGCAATTGTCTTTCAAAGTGTGACAGCGCTGGGAATTGGCCTGGGCAGGAAGGGGGTATAAGTGCCCGGTAGGCTAGTGGTTAAATCACATAAAACCAATCATTGCACTTCCACAGTAATTGAAGGGGTAACAGCCTCCATGTACTTCAATGGCACATTCATTTCCCAGTAAAGATGGTCATGCAATCCACTCAGAAATGACATCAGCATAGGTGCTACAGAGGGGAAGGAGGGCTATTAAAGTGCTATTGACATGATAATTAACCAAAGGGGTCACTAACTATCCAGTGAGTGTCTCTCACAGAGGGTGTGGGGAGAAGCACAAACACTTCTATGGTTGATGTGGAGCACGGTTGAGGATGAAGGGAAGGAATAAACCTGCACAGACTTTCTTTTCGAAGAGCATTTTATTGATTACTCGCACTAGGGTAGACACGTTTAGGCTTCTTGGGTTTTTTGGGGTTTTTTTTAGTCCCTAGAAGCTGTTATCAGCATTTTTTTTTTTCTGCTCCTAGAAGCTAAAAGGTATTTTCCTATGTGTCTATGCGCACTATTTGAGGCTAGTAGCGTTTTTCAAGCTCCAGCATTTAGGAGCAGAAAAAAATTGTAAAGTTGTTGGGAGCTTTTTTTTTCCAGGCAGGAAAACTGCTACGAAAAAGTTGCTAACAGCTTCTTTTTCCCCCTACATATACTGTAAAAATGCTAATAAAATGCTTCTAAATGGTACTAAACTGTTATCGCCAGCATTTTTTTTTATCCAGCATTTTTTACTGCGTTTTTTTTTGAGCCTAAAAAAAATGCTAGTTTGCATGGAGCCTTCTTGTTTACAATAGCAGCACTTTCATACTTTGACTAGAACATTTTGTCCAGTTGTTTTGATTTTGAAGATTGTATTGTTTTTATGCATCATTTTATTTGCGCAGCATAGCGATTGCACAATATTGGTCTTCGCAATGGTTGAATCCGTTTAGTGAATGTAACATTTTGGTATAGCTCTGCACCAAGTTTATACAGAATGTAATCTAGACAAAGATATTTGAGTTATTCTGAGATTTTGAACAGCCAATGGCATTAAAGGGTTGTATATGGTGTGAGTAGGGTGTGGCTTTATATAGGGTCCCACTGGTCTAGGGGAAAGACATGGATTTTTGGGTAAAACCCTAGTCTAGCAGGATAATATATGGCAGACGTATGGAGTCAGTGGTTTTTATTTTCCCCCAAATAGTTTTCATTAGGTTTTTTATAAACAACACATATTGTACTCCAAAAAAAAGGAGAAACATCAAACACAGAATCTAGGGGTAGAAAAAAAAGGCCATAGAAATAAGGTGGAGTCAGTGGTTTAGAAGGTGTTTATGATCTAGGAATGAAGCTGTATATGGAATACAGAAGATGACCTGATTTAGTGGCACAGGACATCAGCTAACACTTTCATTCATACATGATTCTTCACTCAGTTTGTCCCTGACAGCATTCAGGACTAACCAGTTGCTGCTTTTTTTTATTGATGGATTGGTTAACCACTTTCCGACCGGCCGTTGTATATAAACGGC